AAAAAAAAAAAAAAAAAAGAATTCCGTTTGTTTCTCGTCGAATTCGTGACGTGAGAAATACAACGCCCATGGCTTCGCTGATAGATTAAAGACAAATTGAATAGAGAGTCGGGAAGCGTCGACGGTAATTGTACAAATCCGATAATTCGCTAATCTGATTAATGAATTCGCGCTACTCGATTAAAGACGAAACGCTCTCATCCAATCGAATCCGGTCAAGCTGGAGACCGCAAATTAGCGAACGTTTGTGAATCGACAATCACAGTGCATTGTAAAAGATATTTCATTCACTTTTCCTTTGACGATTTTCCGGGGATTTGCTTTTGACGATAAAAAACTGTAGACGATAGCGTCAAAAATTATATAAGCTATCATTTTTGTAACATTATTATTTATATCGATCATTGGCACACTTTTGTAATCTTTATCAAATTATTAGGCTGTTTTCTCTGTAATTTATTGATATTCTTTGTAATAAAACTGATCTTTTCTCGTTCCTTTGGCAAATATCAATCTCTTATTAAACGCCACGTATAAGCTATTCCGAAACGTGTTTCCCCTTTCAATTGCGAATTCTTTGACCATTTTTATAATAATAAAATTCTATGAAGAATCGATTCCCTCTCTCTCTCTCTCTCTCTCTCTCTCTCTCTTTGATATTGATTAATAATTGACAATTATAATAATTTGATTTCGGACAGCGTGCTCATTAATCTCACACACGCGAGGCTGTGCTATATTACATCTATATATTTGCGCAATATCTACGGTTTTGCTTGATTGGCTTGAACGTTTTAAAGATCGCCATGTGCGAAGAGGCTGTGCTGCATAATTCACTGACCGTGCGAATGTTTTCTCGTTTTACAGAAAAGCCAGACGAAAGGAGAAAGATGCGGGAGCCACGGAGGATCCTAAACTGTACCTGGAGGAGGCCGCTCTCGAGAGACAGTTGCCGGAGCTGGACCTGAGGATGCTCGTGGATTTACCGCCCGGTCTGGATTACAACGAGTGGCTGGCGTCGCACACCCTCGCACTATTCGATCATATTAATCTCGTCTACGGCACGATATCCGAGTTTTGCACCATGACGGGTTGTCCCGATATGACCGGTCCCGGCTTAAGGTACGTTGTAAACTCCGATTTTTTCGCTTACTTATTCACGGTATCTCGAAAAAATTACATCTCCGATTTATTCGAGCATATTTAAGAGAACTATATTTTTTTATTACAGAATGTAAAAACATATTCTGAACCGTGTACATAATATGGAGGAAATAAAGAGCGTTATATTTCCTCCACATTTTTTATTTAAATTTTGAATATAAATTTAAGTTTTATTGCTAAAGATGGAGGAAAAATCGAAAAAGGATATGTGATGGAAAATCTGAAATGTTAAAAAATTATTTTTTCAATTTCTTCGATATAAAGAAACTAAGTGTTTTCGTCTCACAGTACAAATGTAATCTCTGCTAAATGCACCATCATGTTGTCATATTTTTAACAGAGAATTGATAGCTTTTATCGATGAAATTTTGAAGTTTGATCCAAATTATTGTCCATCACTCTTGTTCATTATTTGCTTTGTGTGCTGTTAATGTTTTGCATTTGAAATGACCAATCCATTGACACAATTGTTTTATTATTCTAGAACGTATCTATGGTTCGACGAAAAGGGGAAAAAAACGAGAGTGGCAGCACCGCAATATATAGATTATGTTATGACATTTACGCAACGCACCGTTAGCGACGAAACTATATTCCCGACAAAATACGGTGAGTCATTCAACCTTTATATAATTATTTAATTCGTTAACATTGATTAATAAACATTATAGCTTCTTTTTGAATAACATTGCTACTATCATAAAAATTTATATCGATTATTAATCGATCGAGAGATATGTATATTTATTATATTAATTTTATGTTATATATATTATATTTAATTATTAATTAAGAGCCGAGAAACATCAATCGGTTAATTAAAGCCGAATAATTATTTTTTTTAGCAAACGAGTTTCCGAGCTCGTTTGAGTCGATAGTGCGTAAGATCCTGCGGCTACTGTACCACGTGGTGGCACACATCTACCACTGCCACTTCAGGGAGGTGGCGCTTTTGGGGTTGCATGCTCACCTCAATTGTGTGTTCGCCCACCTCACGCTCCTTAATCAACGCTTCAACCTTATAGATCCCAAGGAGACGGAGATTCTGGGGGACCTAGAGGCCGCCCTCTTGGGTAAGCTTTATATATTACCGCCGCTGCCACACCGATGCGGTATTGATCGATGCTGATTACGCAATGCCGGGGAGAGATCCGAGACCGAATTGCGCGACAGAATATTTCCTTTGACGATCGATAGAGTCGTGTATGTGTGCCTTTAAAAAACAAACTTCTCATTACACATCTCGTAATTCTTTATTTGATGCCGACGATCGGTCAAATCGGAGCTTAAAACTAAAAAAAAATTATTGAAAAAAGAAAGATTGGAACTGTATATTGAAGTGCCTCGGATATTCTCTCAGCATTCGTCATCGCCGATTATCGGAGAGGTACGCGATGTTGAAAGAGACTTACTCGTATCTCCGTAAAGTCTAACGGAGCGTCGAGAAAGCTCTCTTGTGGGAATCAATTTGCACGATTATTAAGGGACGAACCTAATTACGGTGTATTAAGTGTATATTTAGCCAGCTACATTATACGCCTCGCCGGAGAGATACATGTTTGATTTTATACTATCGATTCCTTCCCCGACTACTTGCTTGCAGGTGACTCGACATCCGCGCCTTCGCAGACCTTAGCCATCCAGGAGACTCCGACCTCCACAACCACTACCAATACCACCTAGATCGCCGCGATGCGTAATAGCATGCGAGCAGAGGTTGCAGTTCCTGAGATTAGGTGACGATAGGTGATTCGTTTGTTCGTTCGGTTTCTTTTTGCCTTCATTTTATTCTTTTTATAGACCACATGCGAAAAAATAGAATTTATTGCGATACGATCGGCTGGTGGATGAAGAGAAAAAGAGAGAGAGGGAGAGAGAAAAAGAAAGAAAGATAGAGAATGAGAGAAAGCGGCGATTCTGTAAAAACAAAGAAAAGATACCAGTAGTACCTGTACATAGCAAAGTGTGAACAACTACATGATGTAATTAGGTTTCTCCGTTTGTTGTTTGTGAGATTGTACATAATTTATTAAATGGTAAGATATATATATACACGAGAGAGAGAGAGAGAGAGAGAGAGAGAGAGAGAGAGAGAGAGAGAGAGAGAGAGAGAGAGAGAGAGAGAGAGAGAGAGAGAGAGAGAGAGAGAGAGAGAGAGAGAGAGAGAGAGAGAGAGAGAAATAACGAGTGAGAATGAAAGAGCGCGAAAGCAAGCGAGAAAGAGAGAGAGCGCGATAGAAAAAAAACGAGTATTGATTATTATTGACAAAGTTAGTTGCTATAAGAGATGATTTGTTCTGTAAAAATGACACAATAATAATATTGTAAAGTTAAAATAATACCAAATATATACCTGGTGTTAAGGCACATGTCTTATCGGTGACGAGTTGAAAATACGTGATGTGTGTGTATGTGTGTGAAGGAATCCCATCTCCCTTCTAGAAGTGAACCTATCGTCTCAACTATTGACCAAGTCGTCCTCTAGAAAACCTCCGAAAATCTTTAATTATCTTAAATTACTCATAAAATTGCTTCTCTTCCTCCTTTGAAATTTTTTAAGAATTTCTAATTTCCACTTACAAGTTCAGGTGCAAGCAGTGGTGGTCGGTGCGTGAATGTGCTTCACTTCAACGAGTCTGATCGCGGCGCAAAGATTCGCGATTTCTCTCAAAAATAGGCCTATCGCCTCGGCTATCGGCTCGCAGAGATCTCTTAACGACGTAGCGATATTATAGAGAAGGATCAGTACTGGTTGCACAAGAGCGTTGAACAGAATGGATAGCAGCGGTTTCACAAAGTAATCCGCTATCAATTGAAGTATCCCCACTGTCAGCGGTCGGATCACGCTATAGAGAATGAAGCGGAGGAGCTGCAGAATAAAAGCCGTGACGAAGGCGATGCCGATATGAATCGTGCCAAAGATTTCTGCCCAAAAGCGGGTTGCTGCTTGATCAGTCTTTTCGGCACATTTATCGGTAGTCAAGACAGGATGGCAATCGGTTGTTCGATAATATCTGCAAGAAATATCACCGTCCCGATCGGTCTCATTTAATTAGTGTATTAATTATATATCAAGTATCCCTCTTCGCTCCGCGTTACGTTATTCAGTTAGACCGATTAAAAATTTTTCTTAATTAAATTTAATTATTACGTTAATCGAAAAGTATCAGTGCGATAAAGCAAGTCTTCGAGAATGTCTTGCATATATTTTGCACTTACACCGAGGTAAGCGATACTTACGCGGAGCTTCCGTGATCGAAGTAGTAAATCTCGATCTTCTCCGCCACTTCCTCCCTCTTGAGTTTCGTCTTCGTTGGATACTTGAGAGGCTTTGATTTACCGGCATCGTACTTGGCGCTCTTACTCGGTATCCCGTTCGACATCTCGTAAGCGGCGAGGGGTTGAAATTCGTGTGGTGGCTGCGACGCGTCCAGATGCTGTTTAGGCATGCCTTTGAGAGGCACCTGAGCATAGTGAGGACACTGAACCTGTTTCAACTTTATCTCGTACATCTTGTTCTCCTTGCCGAAGTGCCCATTTCTTGGCCGCTTCCAGCTGAAACGGCTCCAGAACTGCCGCGATTGCGGTTTATCTAAACGAACGTACGTTTATAAATCTCTGTCGACGTATTTACTCACGCAGGATGTATTTTAGCTCCTTTAGATATGGACTATATATCGTATAATTTCTACCAATGCGTATTGTAATCTCCATATGCAAAAGATTTTTATAATTTTTTTGTATCTTAAATTTCTGTAAAACTGATAAAATTCAAATTTAATGATAAAGAACGTTTTATACAATCCCGCACGAGTATATACTTATAGCAAATCAAATATNNNCCGATCGGAGACGAAGTTTCCTATAATATATACCTTTTTTAAGTTTCACAGGCAGAACGTAACCGTTGCTGAAATGATAAATCTGCTTTTGAGAAACAAATCGGCTAACGGATAATGGAAGGCGTGATGGCGTTACATTTTATGACTACGGCATAAACACGGAGGAAAGCTCAATTGCGTCGTTGCAGGCCAACTTCTCGAGTTCTCCCGCTGGCGATCCAGTTTTGCTGGAACCGCGGATGGGGCTTCCGTTGTCGCGGCTACGCAATAAGTTGCGACCGGCGTCGCGTCGATCGAACATTTACAATCTGTATCTATATACAAAACACAAGCATTGAATGATTGTTTATAAATATATAAATGAGTTCTAAAAGACAGACAACTTAGTTCGATTTTGAGGGACACTCTTTATAGAGTTTCGCTTTCATACAACGTGAGAAATGCGCGTGCCTTTAGGTCCTTCAACAGCATCGTTTCCCTTTCCGATCGTATTGGTGCAGACCACATTTACGTCGGAATTTACGGCCGAAGTAACATCATCCGAGTGCAAAGACGTTAGATTGGACGGTTCTGTGGTGTCGGTGCAAGAACAATCCTCTCCGGTAACCATGTTATCAAACATTTCCTTACAATAAAACACATGGAAAATTATATAAAATAACATCAACATCGAACGCAAACAGAACTGTCAGAACAATAACAAAAGCGATTGGCAATTATACATATGATATATATGCTTTGCATATTCAAGTCGTATCGATTCTAATTTAACGTATATATAGTTATAATTTCAATTAGTTTAAATTCACATTATAGACACATGAGAATAAAATCTGTAATATTTTATGCTGAAAATTAAGATTTAAGAAAAAAAATTGTATCCGACTAATTTTTCGCGTTTATGAAAAAGATCTACTTTAAATTACTCAAAGAACTCATAGAACTCATAGATGATGTTTAGTTTTTCTATAGAAAATTATACGAAGAGATAAATCGTTGCGTTAATTGTAACGAATGATTCCATTATCACGAATATAAAAATCAATCGCGAAGAATTAGTCAGTTATCGAGAATCTCTTATATAATCAATAAAAAAAAATCCTTTCGAAATCTATATTATTGAAAATCCACATATATCTGTCTATATCGTGTTTTCTTCCAGAAAACAAAAGTTAGACATACTTTACGTGCTGTATACTGTTTTTATTCCTGTCTTGCGGCTATACGACATAGTTTTCTCCAAATGATATACCAGAAATTATTACATCTTTTAATATATGTATATATAGTTTTCTTTCAAAGTTTTTCTCTCGAGTGAAATAGATAAACGTTAGACTCTTATTTACATCGGATAAACCTTGGAAGTAGAATATATAGGACAATTATACCATCAAACAGACAGTAAATGACGTATCATCATATGCGAATACATTGTGTTATAATTCATCAAAAATTTAACAGCAATTCGAACATTCAATGTATGTGTGTTATACATGTTGTTTTCGTATTATCTCGCAAATCACAATGATGGGAAAGGTGTTGTATTGTGAATTACAATTTTATATAACTGGGAATTTTTTTTTCTTGTATAAGATATATCTCTTAGAATCTTAAAAACTATGAATTATTCTTATAGAGTTTAAAGGATAGATAGAAACGTGCGTACGTGTATTAAATAACATTCATTACGACTCTATATCCTTTGGCTGTAAAAACATTATCATTTTTTTGTCGTTCTGTTTCGCTTGCTTAACAATATATATATATATCGATACTTATGATTTGCGAGAGAGGAAAAACAGAGATCGGTATAATTTACGAGAAAAATTGAACAAAACTCCAATCCTAGCATTTCATTTATGCGCGAACTAAGAGAGAGAACAAGATTATTACCATATTCCCATCTCGCTATCCACATTTGAATTTAGCGAAATTATATCGATCCCGATTTTCAAGTATTATATAGTACATACACAGGAAGTTAGGATAATACATCTTACTCTGACAATTAAACCTTTCGAATGAAAGAAATAATCACACAACGCAGTTAACAATATTTTTCTATAAATCTCAGTTGGACTAGATTGTGAAATAAAAAGTATGTAAAAATTGAATTCAGTCCTACGCGAAATAATGCCTTCGATGAACATAATTATCTTATAATATATTGATATTGTAGTACAATCAATATATTATATACTCTTTTATACTGTTATATTTTTTTATATAGTATTTATACATGTATCTCTTTGCTAATAACATTGACATGGAGTACTCGATTTGCAATAATTGTGTGTGTAATTGCTATTTCAGGTGTATACATATTAAAACTATCTGTATGTTTCAACATTTTGTACACAAGTGTTCCTTATCGTTCTGTACAAGAAGTCGTTGGGTGTGAAAACTTGTATCAACTATAATATTATAATATGACATAATTGGTAAATCTCGAATCTAGAGTTGAACGTATAGGACAATGATTTTGAAGACGCATATTCTTCTAAATCATATTGAAATAAAGCTGATATAATTATTTACAGACGCGTCAAATGAAATGTATAATAATATTTACATACAAATGAGCAGTTATATTAAAATATGGATTTGAAGAAACTTTGTTGTACAATTAGTATTAAAATGCATGTGATTTCATCATAGCATGTCATCTCATCGTTACGATGCGTTCTTAGAACAAAAAAATTCTGTAACAAACTAAATATATATGTATTATACTAAAAAAATCACACAAAACTATATTATGCAAATACTCAATTTTTGATCGATTCGCTTTCATACGCACTCACAGAAATCAGAATCATGATACCAGAAAGTAATCAAACTCACGCAAGAGTATAGATTTACATTTTATATATATTAATATCACATCTTTTTTCTTCTCTTTGATAATTGATTAGATTCTGAAAACTCTTTATAATTTATTTCACGTTTTATAATATGATGCATGATAATGACTTCAATGTTAGCGTCATAAAAAGTCTTGACGATAGCAATATGCAGTCATTATATAGTTAAGTTACTTTCTAAAAGAAAGATAATTTCTGAAATACTTTATGCCAGGTAAAAAATAAAACTAATGTACTTTTCTATATCTAAAAAAATTTGTTTTACAATTAAAAGGAATTAAAACTAAATTCAATAACTATTTTACATCACTCTTTCAACAAGGTTTCCATTTCCGTGAGCGCATCTAAAGAAATAATACTTGCAATAATAATATTTTATCACTCAAGACTTATTTAAGGAAAATCAAAAAATTTTATAATATAATATAAAAATTGGACGTTCACTCTATCATCATCTTCATTATAAAATGCTACCATCGATTTTGGAATGTACAAGCAGTATTATTTCATTATTTTTGCAATAATCTGTATACACAATTTGGAAGAATTATCAGTTTGAAGTGTAAATACTAAATACAATATTCGCACGCGTAAACAGAGCGTTTCTTATTAAATAATTTCTTTGTTGCGTAACAATATTTTAAACTCACTCTTTGCTTAATATATAAAAAGCGATTTTTGTGACCTAAATTTTTTTGACAAGATATGCTTGATATATATTATATGCTACAACAGTCCTTAAATAAATATTACAAATAATTTTTGTAATATTGATTTGTGATCGCAATTATTGTGATCATATCGTATTACCATGATAAAAATTACATTTTAATCATAATAACCGATATACTAGTTGATCTCAACAGAAGTTTTGTAATGTCGAGTACACGTAAATGCATTTCAAGAAGCATAACATGGCACTTAAGTCAGGTAGAGAGTCTCTTACAAATACGAACAATAGAGTAAACAATGTAAATAGCTGTTACGCAGTTTTCACTTTTGGCTATAAATCTACTGCACAGCATTTGATTTTTTTATGCATTCTAATTTGTATAATTTATGCACATTTATAGCGCGATATCATATAGGCCACATTTTTAATATTCAATTTTTTTGCATCTTATACGATTTTTAATCTTTGCATTATATTGTGTATATATATATATATTTTTAATTGTATATAATTCTTGTATGTCAAAAAATTTTTATTTATGTTTTACACATGTTATGTGCATTAATTTTTTTAATTACAAATTATTTGAATTTATCAGGATATAGATGCATGGATGTAGACATTCCTCAAATGTTCATATAAAGAAAAACCACAAACATTCAATTATTCCTTCATGAAATAATGGATGAGATAACTGTAACTATGTAATAATTGTACAAATTAAATTATATATATACTTGTAAGAAGAAGAGGGAGCATCAGAGCTTTATACATTTGTTCAATGAATATTACATACTTTCAATCTCTAAATGCGTTTACTTCTTGAAAAAGATGATCTGATATCTGAATCATTAATTGTTATCCATGGATTGTGATACTGAATTCAAATGTGGAATGGTCAGCAAATATCAGTAAATAAACACAATTTAAAACAAATGATTAATATTTACAATACGCATCTACTATAAAGAGAATTGTTATTTTAATAATTAGATAAAGAATGTTCGAAATATAAAAAGGATGATATAATCTGCAAAACAATCAGTTGAGATATTATACTAACCCTCCACTGCCAAAATTGTCCAAATTACAGATTAATGTTTTAATTTCCAAATTGAAAAATTATGTACTTCTCCTCTTTATGTATTTTTCTTCATTTATCGGCTATTATAATTTTAAAATTACAATATGGAAATTCAATCTTTCATATCTTTAAAAATACATCTTATCATTTAATTTGGGCAATAAAGAGGGTTAATTGATGAATTGAAGAAACATTTGTGCAATTAAGTTGTTTCATCACTCAACGATATCTTTAAGTAGAGCACAGGGATACGCACTTTTTGCAAAATGTAAGTCTTTCACAATATACAAGTCGAGAAATTATTATTCAACGACTATTGTACAGTAGACCTACTTATAGAACGAAATCCGTATATATGCGTAATTACTGCCGTATTGGAAAGTCACTTACGTGTTTGCGGCAACTCTTTGGTGGCCCGAGAAGTACGTCAGGCATAAGTGATATGGTGTATGTGTGGATGTGTGTACAATTAGCTTCTCACGGCTGCCATAGCGCAATACAGTCTCGTTTCAACGTTCTTTTACTTTAAACGTACTGAAAGTTATCTTTCTGCGCGAGCAAAGGTAACTTTTCGATGCTTTGCTTGAGATCGAAGCTGTGTAACCAGTCTGAGCTAGGTTTCGCTTTTACCCCGCAGAAGCTAAAATTGCAAAAATCTGCGGCGTTTTGCAGAGCTCCGCGATGGAACGGGTTCCCTTGTTTGAAATGTTTGTAACGACCAGCATTCATTCGTTCATTCGTTGTCATTCCCAAGACCATGATCTGCGAAAATACGTAAAAATAATCATAATAATCATTTTTACTATCAAAACAATCAAGACAATGGTTCCTTCATTGGTCTTAATTTATAAGATGTACATTTTATAAAATTATAATCGCATTTTACCTGATAACATTGACACGCCAACAGGGTTCCGACCCAGAAGGAATGAAGAGACGTGTTGGCTGCTACCCACATTACCCAGGCGTCGCAGGTAGCCGCGGCTACCAAATAGTTGTCCGCACTATGACCGTTCGTCAAGTTTGACCAACATTCAAATTGCCAATACTGTACACTGGCGGATAAAATAACGATGCACAACCCAAGCAAAGATGCCAGAAATCCAAGGAAATACTTGTGATTATGTGCACCTGCAAATGATGCAATTAGTCTATTGTTTAGCATTAAACAATATTTTATTTTTTCTCGTGTGCGTATGTGTGTATAACTTATTAATCTTATATCTATAAATGATAAAATACTAACAACTTGTAAGCAGTTATTGCGCTTCTTAATGTGTGTTATCTTATTTAAATGTGTTATCTTGCTCAAATATTAATAACAATTATATATCGTACCAAATATAATATAATTTATATTGAAGTATTAATCGAAGTTTCTCGTTACGTTATTAATATAATTTTATTTTAAATTTATATAATATTATTTTACACATTATATCATACTATCTTATCGCCTTATCAGCATGTTACTTATCATCCTTAGCAGCTTATCAAAAACTAATCGTACATAAATGTCCTCGATTTATCTAGAACATATCACATGATCAACTCACCTTGGTTGGCACTATGACCGTTCGTCAAGTTTGACCAACATTCAAATTGCCAATATTGTACACTGGCGGATAAAATAACGATGCACAACCCAAGCAAAGATGCCAGAAATCCAAGGAAATACTTGTGATTATGTGCACCTGCAAATGATGCAATTAGTCTATTGTTTAGCATTAAACAATATTTTATTTTTTCTCGTGTGCGTATATGTGTGTATAACTTATTAATCTTCACAACAGTGAAATGAAGAGAACAGACAGAATAAAATGGATAAGAAGAAAAATGAAAAAAGATGTACAACTTGCTATCAAAACAAACAAAAAAATAAATAAATAAAAAAAAACAATATAGAGAAAACTGAAAAGATTACTATAATGTTGGTATTTATTTACCGATGCAGTTGTTAACCCATGGACAATGATGATCGAATCGCGCTACACAACGGTCGCATGTGGAACAATGTTTAGATCTCATGGGTCTTCTGACTAAACAGCTACTACAGAACCATTGTGGCTCAAAACCACCGGATTCGGCCAATTCGATTATCGTCTGCAGATGAAGACATATTTAATTTTTCATGCATATTGAATAGTTTTGCGCATAGAAATAACAGAAAGTACATTTAATTTGTCCTCGTGAGTGGCCGTGATGATTCCAGGATCACCTCGCCAAGACTGTAGGAAGCATATCCAGAGAGGAACAGAACCGCTGACCAATAATAACCATAAATACCACGCTGCATGGACACCGAGCCAAAATATCCACGTAACATATATCCACATCTAAAAAAAAATATATATATATATACAATTCATAATTAAAATCTGCATATAATAAATTGCACGAAATGTTTGTACTAAAACATGCATAAATATGTTCCAACAAAATATATCACACATACAATGCAGGTATATCTATAAATGATAAAATACTAACAACTTGTAAGCAGTTATTGCGCTTCTTAATGTGTGTTATCTTATTTAAATGTGTTATCTTGCTCAAATATTAATAACAATTATATATCGTACCAAATATAATATAATTTATATTGAAGTATTAATTAAAGTTTCTCGTTACGTTATTAATATAATTTTATTTTAAATTTATATAATATTATTTTACACATTATATCATACTATCTTATCGCCTTATCAGCATGTTACTTATCATCCTTAGCAGCTTATCAAAAACTAATCGTACATAAATGTCCTCGATTTATCTAGAACATATCACATGATCAACTCACCTTGGTTGCCAAATAAATCGACATTGGTAATATGTGGAACAGCCGTTCGTCGAACACGAAATGGTTCATTAGATACACCGCTACATAAAGGGTGATAAAGGCACCTAGTTTTAGTAAATAATCCCATCCGATCTGTAGAATCATGCCAATCACATAAAATGCTATGAATGGCGTACTGACCATGCAATACCAACGGACTCTCTACAAGAAAAAATGAATAATGAGATAATGCACTTATATACAAAAAAACTGAAAAGTGAATCTACTTTATTCTGCAGTTAACTCTACAGTTAACAGTAAAAAAATATCCTCAACTAAGAGATCGCTTTTATTCCAAGCTAATATATATCGTAACATACTTATGGCACATTATCGTTACCTTATCTCTACACCATGTTCTCGTACGCCCTTGCTTTTCTTTAATCTCCTGACTAATTTTGTGGCCTAGCCACGCGGCGCCGATGTGCGGGCCCAGCAGCGTCATCGGGGTCTCGTTTTGGAAATTGGGCAAATCTAACGAGGCCCCGTGTTGCACTAGAGTAGATATCGCTGTGTTATTTTTCGCTATAATGGCCCAATGCAGCGCCGTGTTACCGTGCAGGTTATCGGTGAGCGAGTGCGACGCACCTAGAGTCAACAGCAGTCGCGTTGGATCTAAGCTGTAAAAGGAAAAACTTTAAAGTAACCAATATAGCGTTTTTCTATTAGGGAAACAGCATTGCTTATACCGTAGTTACACAGTACTCTATGTACCTGTTGACTTTGTAAGCACTCCACATAAGAGGTGTCATAGCGCTTCTATCCGGCATGTTCGGATTCACGCCTTTCGCTACCAGATAAGCCACAATGGCTGTGTGACCAAATTGCGCTGCCAGATGTATGCATGAGAAACCTTCAGAGTCCCTCAAGGTTGGATCAGCACCTGCTCTCATCAGTATGACGACTGTAGAGAGATGACCCTGCCTAGAAGCACAATTAGAGCTGACTTTGTTTTATTTAAATTTTTTATAAATTTATATTACAAAAAAATAAAGATTATGGTTTATTTCCAAAATCTTCTATTATTCTCGTTTAAATCAATTTATTAAATAACATCAACAAAATGTTTATTAAAACACTCACCTTGTAGCCCAATGCAATGGCGTAGAAGCCAATTCGCCACCAATTGCATCAACTACAGCTCCCTTTGCAATAAGATACTTAACTATATCTTTTCGATTGTTTATGGCAGCCCAGTGGAGCAGCGTTACGGTTTCCGAATCTGGCTGATTCACGTCAGCACCAGCTTCCACCAATTCTGTCACTCGATCCAATGCTCCATACTACAAAGACATTATCCTACTTATTGTTAGTTCCAAATAAAAAAACTAATCATACACTTTGATCATGCAGATGATTAGTTTTAAATTGAGGAACTTATTTCTGTTAAACCCACAGTTAAAAAAAATACATTAAAGTATTACATGTTTATTTCTATATTTGTATAATACAATTTCAATTATTTTTTAAAATGAATTTAGAATAGTTTGAAGATAAGCTCTTTAATTTAATCGCTGAAATTACCTGCGTGGCTCTAATAATATCGAAAGAACTACAATCTTGCGCAGCAGGTCGCGCTGGTTCCTGATGAAGGCTGCTGGGGTCGTCGGGCTCACCAGTGCCCTCGCCCTGGCAGGCAGTCTGCATCTGCAGTGCGTACATCCTACAACCAACAAAAGAATATCAAAATATCTTTCTTAAGCAATTTCAAATTTTTTACTTTATTTAAAGCACATTGTAATAACAAGATGATAAACATTAATCTAATAATGTATATATTTATCAAATTTTATTATCATTTTCTTTCTAGATTATAATTCTAATGATAATATATAAATTGCTAATGTATGGCAAAAAGGACTAATCTATCGTAGTTGATGCAATTCCAGTGTCTTTCTTCCTCTTTCTTAATCTCCTTATATATATATATTTCCTTTCTTTTTATTAAATACAATAATGGAGTCATTCTTTTATTATTCGCAATTATTTTGCATAATTGTACAAGCAAGAAAATCTGCTTCAGAGCTAAAAAGCTCCTATGTATATTTATCTTGAATTAAAAAACCAACATTCCTCATTTCGTTTATTCATTCTGATTCTGAATTTCCTTGAGACGAGCGGCATATCAACACGCGATTTCGTATTCGAGTCAGTAATAAGAGAGAACTTTGTATGCCGTGATGTGTATAAATTGTGCTAAATCATGTGTTGTTGTCCAGAATACAATAGGTGTGACGCTTTCCAGCTAATTTTTTTTATAGTTTCTATATATACATTTATGTTTTAAAGGAGGGAAGAAACAGTGAATGTGCAATAAGATACTTTCTACTTAAATTAAAAAGTAAGTATGTATTCAGATATGAGAGAGAAGAAGGAAAACTTTTATTACTTGTAGCAGCACATTATTTATATATTATAAATTGGATTGATTTAGATATAAAATTCATATCTATGTTTTAACATTAATTAAAGTTAGCTAAAACTTGAGTGATTCTCTTGACTAAACAGAAAAATAATTAAAATTAAGATAATTTTATTATGTTTGATGTGAATTTTTATATATATTACTCCATCCACTTAATAAATAATATTTAATGATCTTTATTATAATTAATAAATTCTTTGCTAAATATAACACAAGTCACTAAGAGAATATCTGTTAATTGATTTAATAAATTTAATTATATATAAATCTGGTCACTTTTTATTTAAAAAAAAAAGAGATTAACTCTCTCTCCCTCTCTCTCTCTCTCTTTCTCGAGTTTTGATATTTTTTTTCTAAAGTGCAACATAAATTCCATGTACAATATAGCAATTTTGTTTATTTATTGCGATCTTGTTTACTTTAATGTACTATATCTCAATAACAAGATCAATAACAAGAAATTATATCGATGTCTTTTCTCATTAATTACAATCACCAATTACAAATTCCACATCAAATTAAATTAATCCAAAGATACTAATTAATTATACATCATATACTACGAAATTAACAAGAAATTTAATAATTCTCTTTCTACGCATTTTCAAAAAATTCAGGAGTCTAGCAGGTACAACGTACTCCTATTCCTTTCTTTTCGTTATTTCGACATTAAAAGGGTTGACGCAACGCGACTCACCCTCGGGGATATGTCTTTCTACCGACGAGACAGAGAAAGAGAGAGAAATCGAAAAGCATTCGTTGTCCACGCTGATCGATCTTCGGAGTGCGCATAAAAATAAATCGTTTTATATATACGTACGTATAAATGCTAGATAGAAAAAAAAAAAAAGGCTAGTCCGTCTCACCTTGCGTTTATGCGTCGCTAATGCATAGTAATGTAAACGACGACGGCATGAACGACCCTTAGTCGGGGATGCGAGGGGTTAGTTTCCAAGGACCAGCAGTTTTCGTGCACCAGGGAGTGGGGCGCCGGCATATCACACACGCGCGCACACACGTACGACGTATACGCGACGACGGAGCCGCCGGGGTTGACCTTACAAACGGCACCCTCGTAAGGTTCCTCTCTCCGCGACACAATCGTGCGTTTTTAATTCGCGATGACCGTCGAGCGTCCCGATCCCGTTCCTCTCGACCACCGACAACTAGCTAGCGTCGCGAGCAGCACCGTCGAGTGTATGTCTCAGTTTCGGTTCGCCGCGACGCACAGCCGCCCCGTCATCGTGTTCCAGTGTTTGTCGGTGTTCGTCGAGCGTTTTATTTTACGCGACGGATCCCATTACCTCGATATCGACCAAACGCAACGCCGTCCGGTCGGCAATGTTCGACGAAAAAAAACTCGACGGATCAGGAACATCGCGGAGACACCTGGCGTAAGCAGATTATAGTAACCTTACTACGCGGGGATAACAGCAAGAGACAGATCGATTGATCGATTAGAATATTAGAAAAAGCTATAAACGCGGAATAATAATGGTTCAGCACACAAGACACGCGATAAGGTTATGAAACAACGCGGAGTGACTCGCGATGAAATAAATATAAGAAAAAAGTCGCGACCTTTTTTACCATCCGAGATATAACGCCATCTCGCGTGCACGAGAAGTACTAGGAAGTGTCAATTATGATGCCTCGGTCGATTCGTCATATTCAAATAAAACAAAAGGTATCAAAATTCGTGTACTTGTTGAATGATTGTCGATTTAAAGTGCTGTGCGAGGCTATGCGTGACGTAAGCATTTACGTATAATATTAATGTAATATTAATATATACATATAATATATACGTATATGTAAATATTATATGTAATATATATATATTTATATGGTGTGGCTATACTTTGTTTTTAATTCGTGTACTTGTTGAATGATTGTCGATTTAAAGTGCTGTGCGAGGCTATGCGTGACGTAAGCATTTACGTATAATATTAATGTAATATTAATATATACATATAATATATACGTATATGTAAATATTATATGTAATATATATATTTATATGGTGTGGCTATACTTTGTTTTTAATTAGTAGTATATATTTTATGAAGCATCAGATGTGCATCACGCAAAAGGCGTGACCACAGATTTATTATTTACTTTATTATCTATTATATATTATATGTAATAAAATAGAAATCTGTGGGCGTGACAAACGAACCACACCACCGACGCTGACCAGTCGCGCGACGAACGTCACACGTCACGTGCGAATGCCTACGTCACTCATAGAGCGTTATCGGTGCTGGCGCCGATGTATTCCCGCGTCTGTATATATACGTCGTCCATGTGTGTGTTGGTGTCTCTTTCTCTCTTCGCGTTTCGCGCACAGCGCGCACGGGGCTTTAATCAGGAACGAACAGCTGTTCTGTTGCCCGTACGTCGACAGAATACGGTCAACCGTCGTAGCACGTGCATCGCTCTCGCGTATCGCAAGTGACGATATAACGTGGCGCAGAATTTAAGGGAGATCAGAGAAACGTTTTTTTTTTTTCACGCGCGTCAAACGAAAGTGACGGACGAGTCAGGTTTTTAATTTTTTTTTCGCATTTCGCTTTGTTTACACCGCGTGACTCGTCGTAACATGTAGTAAAATCTGTCGTAGACAGCGATTCTTGGCGACGAGAGGATCGAGAAGACAGGAAGGATAGACGACGCGAGGGACAGCGGATAGCATCGTCGTGTGACGCGTTATTAGAACAGAATAACGAGGAATAACGAGGAATAACGAGGACCAAGAGGACGACATGAATCTATCGTTCGCTGGCTGCGGTTTCCTCGGCATCTACCACGTCGGCGTGGCGGTCTGCTTCAAAAAGTACGCGCCACATTTGCTGCTGAATAAAATAAGCGGCGCGTCCGCGGGTGCTATCGCCGCATGTTCCTTGCTTTGCGACCTGCCCCTCGGTGAGTGAATTTTCCGTTTTTTTTTCTCTCTTGTTTGGTGACGTAAAGTATTCTTTGCGACAATTTTACAGAGAAGTTACGTGTAGAAGTAGCAGATCAAATTTAAGATCTACGCTGATTATTTGTCCGATCCCTTTTTCTTTTCTATCGTGATTTTTTTTCGGCGAGTTCGGCTAAATTGATTTGCCTGAGGCTGATCTGTCAAAATAAAATAATTTATAAATAATAATTTTGAAATTTAAGTTCAATGGTACGCTTACGTCAATATTATTTTCATTTCATATATTATATGTATATTTTTATTCGCGCTATTAGCTTATTTACAAAAAACAAATTTAATTATATTTTTTTATATTAGATTGAACGGAAAGTTTGTTCCGTTTTTTTTTTTTTGCTAACAGATGAAGACCGAAAAAACGGCACGAACTTTCCGTTCAATCCAATATATCCTTTTTTGGATATTGGTATACTTTACTGTCCGATGATTTACAATTTACAGACTTACATTGTTCAATCTCTTTTGTTTTACAAAATTGTAAGTTATACTGTGGTATCTCTTTTTGGAATTTCTTCTTTGGGATATCTTTTTGGTATTTCTCTTAGTCATCTTTTTTTTTTACAAGAATGTCAAAGAATCCATCATTTCCAAATTCTTTTCATTTTTCCTTTTTCGCTTGTAACACATGGCACTGTTTTTTTTCTTTCTCAGCAAAAAACTCGTATATTGTTTTCTATTTATATTGCATTTTCTGCAGAAACCTTTAAAAATTACTGTAGCTGCATTTTATTATTTCGCATCAGAAAATGAAATACTTAAAGAAGATTCAAACTTCTTTCCAATATTTACCGTTTGGGATATTAAAAGATATTTTCCTAGTAATTGAGCTTTTACATTTGAGAAATTAATAATACTTGTAAATATTATACCATTGTAAGAGACTTACTGAAAGAGAAAAATATAAGATGCATTTAAAAAAGCGCAGAATTATTTAATAAGTCAATTATATGCAAACATTAATATCGAATAATTCCATAATTATCTGAATAATGCGCATGCACATGCTGGAATTACGTCAAATTACATGTTATTTTACAATGAGAGAGTCAGTGAAATGGACGAATAAATTTATTATTCCAATAATCTCCATATCTATCATTTGATTGTACGCAACATCGCGCATTGTTATTTCTATTTAATACACGAATGGCATTTTCAATAACGCCGTTAAGATTGCCGGCTTGTTTATTGCAAGTGTGATATAATAGTCGAACTGATTTGTACAAAAATAAGAAATCCTCGTATCTTTAAAAGAGAGATAGATAATTAAAATATACGATTAAGGCTGAAAAGAGTAATCATTGTTGCAGAAACGGCTATTTGAAATTCATCGTAGATAGTGAAGTTTTTTTATTTACCTTATAAACTTAAATTCGTGAAAAATCTGAATTTTATATTTTTTCTTCAAGAATTTGTCAAATAAAAGGAATTTGTTTTTCATACATTTTATTTAACTTTATAATAACAAGTACGGGGGGCATTCTCTTATCGTCGCTAACAACTTGTAAGCACGAGAATTGCGATGATTACATTGTAATAATCTCCGCTGCGCAAATGTGATCGAACTTTTAGAAACTCGATCGATGCGCGACTTATCGCGCTGACACGCTTTCAAATCCTAAACTCATTTGCAAATATATGCGTAAAAGTCGTTACCTAATACCAGTTTTATTAATAGGCCACGCGAAGGCATAAGCGAATGCAGTTAATATGAATATTCTAACGCGAAGTTTATCACCCGAGGAATGTTTTGTTTTTCCGCATAGTTACTGACGCGTGTTGTCTTTATTATCATGAAAGACGAAATAAACACTTGCACGCCTATATTCTCGTGTCTCGTACGTTGTTTTGTATTATGTATACTACGAATCCATGAATGCAACGTGAAGAATGAGTGCATTGATATAAACAATCAATTGTTTTACGCGTTTTTTATGATTTTTTTAAAAAATTTAAATTAAAGATCTGAATCTAATCTTTTGCTCCTCTCTTTTACAATAAAGATAGAGATATATTTAGAATAACGTAATTATGTAAATCTAAAACAAAATAAGAACTCTCTTTCTTTCTCTCTGTAATCGTTTTTAATATTATTTTAGATTTTTATTTACATTTATTTTTAAGTTTTGTTTTTATTTATATCATAGATTTATTATTTTGTATCGTGAAAGAGTTCTGTCGACGTTATCATACATTTGGAAAATTGAATAGCCGCGAATATTAAAATAATTAATCATATTTTGTTCAAGTGATCCGGAAGCGAAAATTTACATAAGTATTTTTTGCGTATTTCGTATAATAATGCAGCGAGCGAGCTCATGAATCATTTTCGATAGATGCGATCATAATGACGAGGTCAAGCATTGTGGCATTTAGTCGTCTTGCGTAAGTCCTAATTATGAAATTGAGATGAGTTACAGTTATATGTACATATCTTATTGTTAGAGACGTAGTTAGTATATATTGACTCGAGAGGAAGAGATTGCTGGGATGACGTGTACCCATTCGAAAATTAACTCTGTAGACTTTAGCACGCACGTGTAAAAACACAGCTGCTTTGTTTGCTTGTTCATAATAACTTTGATTTATTATTTCACACGCGGATTCCACTCGACTTTTGATACATGCATAACTGTTGAAAGATCCAAGAGAGATGTATTTTTAAGATGATTAAGATACTCATATACATAGATATATACATGGATATTTAACGTAAAAAAAGTCGCTGTAAAAGAAAATAAATTTTTCTCCCAAAAATCGAAATAATTTTTAATATAATGATTTCGCGAAATGTATGATATTTTAGTTGGTCGCAAGTCTGTAAATAAAATAGAAGTTAGAAATTTAAACAAGTAGATTAATTTTAAAACACTATCTTTTTTCTGGTTATTAAAACGTTGAAAATTATTCAATCTCTAGTTTGTCTTTTTGCGTGTTTTATTTTCACAGATTTTAAATCACGATGCACAAACAAGGTCAGGCTATATCGTATAACGTTATGAATATGTGTCATAATGTAACAAACTAGTCGATAGGCTTATGACAAATATGTTTTCGTAATCCTCAAGCGTAGATCAAAATCATGGTCAAGTGACGCGAATCAGAGAATAAACATTGGCGAAAGGGTTGGATGCTATATCTCTTGTCGGCTCTCTCGCCTAGATATGCGCATCGGTGTCACTGAAACTAGGTTACAACTGCACGTTTATTGCGAGAAATATAATTATACGGTCGATATAAATAATAGCCGTTTGATTTTACATCGCGTTACACAATCTCGACGATGTTGACCGAAAGTAACACAGTTCATCGATTTAGCGATGTACTCCAATTATCTAAACTAACAGTAAGATTAAAAGAATGTCCTCGTTATCAGTGAGAATTGCGAGAAAATCTTTTTATTATTTGTGACGCGTTGAGATATGCAAGATATACACGGAAATTCCAAGCATAATGTCAGAGTTCTTATTGTTAGATATTGTTTCAATGATAGAGTTTCAAAATTTGTTTGTACCCGAGGCTTATCTGCATATCGCGATAAAGGCAATTATCAATGATCCGATTATCTGACCATTCGCCATTTGATAAAAACAAGATTATTATCCCGTGGTATTTATGTCGATTATGATCCGTGTAGGAAAGAAAAAAATCTTGTTCGAGATAAATTAGTCAAATTTCCTGTACAGGAAACAGGAATATTAATCGGTTTTATCACATCGCGTATAGGAAGAGTGCTCGATACACGTGTTGCCTGACAATATATGATATACGAGATGTTTTACGTATTTTTTCAATGCACTGTAAAATGACGCGAAATTAAAGCCGATCAATGCCGACAGTGCGAAAGCTACTAAATGCTTCGCGAGCATGTTTTAATGTCACGTGGAATTACGAAAAAGAGCTGAGGCAACGAAATATTTAACTTGACACGCATTTCAGCCATTCTTTATATTTCCTTATAGAAACAAATATAAAGAAAATGTTAATTTATGAATATAAAGATTGGACTGCAATTTATTTAACTGTGATACATTTCTTATATGTAATTGTAAAATTAATATTATCTTTTTAATCGTAACGCTTTCTTGCTCGAGTTGACGGATTAATCGCTCCTTTCTTTCTTCATCACAATTACAGATTTGAAAGAATGACGCATGATCGATCGATATAATGTGTCTGTGATTACGAAATATAATGCCTCCGCGGTGGTATGTTTCTTCTTTTTTTTCGATATCGATAATATACATTGATCGCGTGAGCCAAGGACACCGTGTATTCGGATGATGTTTATTGAAGGACTAATGTCTAAAGTCTAGAAGTCAGTATCTTTGCACCCAGGTTGATCGACTTGATACGCAATTGCAGGTTGCTAGCTGCCATTGTTCACATGCGATAATGAACTTTGCATGCATTCGATATATCTTCCGTATCTCCGCGAATGTATTGACAAATATAAACTTCGCCGTGAATTCACGCCGGATCGTGAAAGCGTTTAATTTTTAAATTATTTGTTGGTATCGTTGATTAGAAAGATTAGATTTGCAACGTTTATCGATGCACTTTGATCCCACGTGTATTTAAATTTGCACATTTATTTCTGCAAATTATTTTTTTTTAATCAAATTTTGATTTAAAAAAAATAATTTTTTTCTTACGAAATATTAATAAAGATGCATATATTATCTCTCTTTCTCTTATGCGGGATTTTAAAATTGAATTATATGTATATATCATGATTTTTGTCTGTATAAAATAAATTATTTCATTGTCCAATGTTTGAAAATATTTTTTTGATAGCTACATCTAAGTGGATTTGAATTATTAATGGAAAATTTCTCCATAATTCAGGACAAAATCCCGGGTAATTTCATCAATACACGGCAGATTTAAAAGATATATAATGAAACTAGCAAGATATCATTTATCGATGTGAAATAACGGTCTCACCAACGATGAATGTGTCCATAAGTTCACGAGTGCATTGGCTTTCATGCATATGCGATTCAATCCCCTCTCACTCTCTCCTCCTTTTTTCCATTCATTATTCAATTCTCTTATTTATTATTTCCCACACGTGTGGCATTTATGATACAGTACTTCTTGTAATTCAATATATCTTGCGTATTACATAATGCATAATTATTAGTTTTTTACATATTTGTCATTTATAATCGTTAATACATTCGCGAAAAAACCGTACTCCAATCAGTTAGCATCCAAAAAAAAAAATGAAAGAAATACCCACATTATCTTCAAAATCGAAAAATATAAAATATAAAATAAAGACGTCCCGATTTGCAATGCGTGTGCCTTTCAAGATTTTATTATTTCCAGAAACTGAATAAATATTTACTTCCACTTTGTTGAATATTACCGGAAATCATTCTGTCTACTTAGCTGTCGATTATTCTTATCGTTCAATTAACGTCGACGAACATCGTCATCTATCTAGCTATTTACGAAGCGTCGCGAAAACTTCCGTCTTCATCTTGAAAGAAAATATCAGGTGATTGCATAAGTTCACAAATGGACTTATCTGAATAATGTCTGACGCTAAATTGACATAAGACAACGTCATCTATTCGGTGTAAGCAATAATTACCACACGAAAACAATAGAACTCCGCCATGCAGTAACTTAATGCCATCTATGAAAATCGGGCACGAACTTATGCAATCATCCAATATTTACCTGACGTATCGAAACGCGTCTCGCCGCTTTTCCTTGATCTCACCAAGCTGCGTAATTATTCGCGCGGCGTAAAACGCCAACGCAAATCTCGTCCCGGCTGTCATCCCCGTGACGTCAGGGATCTTCTTATTCGTGTGGGTATCTATAACCGAGCATGAGATACGGCGAACAAAGCGACGCTGTTTCTATCGGTTCTCTAATGTAAGCTGGCGATATACGCTGACGTGTTCGCGTGCTCTCTCGGCGACCGCTTAATGTTTGCACATCATCTGATAACCTCGGGCGATTATTTATTTGTTCCTTCGTTCATAATCAGCTCCTCTGCAGCCTATGACGTTTGTTCGGGTATTGAGAAATCCAAAATCCGTATCGCGTTCCAAGAGCGGGGGAGGCTGCTCTTCTTTTTTGATTCAAGATCAAACTCGCTAAAATAGTCGCATTTTAAACGTAAATATTACACGAATCTTACGCAAACACGCGCGTGCTTATCGACAAGAAACGTCATACGCAACAGCTGTGCATAAATGAACGAGAATTAAAATTTATGCACAAGTTTAATTATAAAACACTCGAGTATAAAACATTGCGTTTTGAGAGCAGTAACGTTTGAACGTCTCTATTGTGCACGAGCATACGGGAAAAAATACGAGAAAAACAAAATAATAAAAGTTGATCTTGAAGAAAAGTTATCGTATCTAATCGCTCATTTTATTCTTAAGTTGGAACAATTGTTGTTATCTTCACTTTTTTCTGTAAATTTTTGCGCAACGAAGAGATACATGTATTCTATTTTAAATATTTATAATTTTACCAAGTATACTCTGCATATCATATGTATTGTATTTAATTAATTTCTCGACATAATTATAGCTTTGCAAGATCTCTTTGTTGTAGGCATCATTGCGGATATTCTGCGACTTTCGTAACGGTTATTTCATTGAGAGAATCATATGAAAGAGAAAGATTGCGAAGCATTATTTCAAAAAAATTATCACGTGATCGATCGGAAG